TTTTAGTTAATCGAGTTAGCGCATAATATTGTATGCGCCAAGTTGATAATATAAATTTTTCTACTTAATTTTTAAGGTAATTAGGACGTCTTATGTAGGTCTTTGCGACATCAATAAGACGTCTAAATTTGGAAGTCCAAATATCGTCTTTATTTTATTTTGTCTTTTTTGACGTCTGTGCCCGCTGGGTAGAATAAGTCAAACTAATATTATGATGAGCATTTTATGCCATTTACTTACCTTGGGTCTAATTCTGATGTGCTTAACAGATAAAAGTTGGAAAAAATTATTTGCGTGGCTTTTTTCTATGTTTAAGTAAAGTTACTTGTGGAGAAAGAAATTTCGTTAAAATGACTATTTTACACTATTTTTGAATTAAAACTAGAATATAAAGCTGACTTCAAAAGTGTTTTGAAGTTGTAATTCAAAATTTTAACTTTTAAAAAGTAAAATATTTTTGACTTGGATTGTATAATATTACCCACGGTTGTGCAAAGTTACCCAAAGTTACGGTATTCAGTGAACCTGAATACCGTAATGAACCTGAAAACCGCCTGCAAAAACTTTTTTTACATTAATAATGATCCCGCAAAAAACTTTTGTTCAAAGTAAAAAGTGCATGCAACTTTTGACTTGTAGGAAGTACATGAATATAATTTCTACGCATTCAAACTTGCTGAAAACTGTCTCTTCCTTTAAAATGTAGTCATATTTGTCGTTTGTACCCATTAAAACACTATTGGTATATACGAAAACTAATTTTTTGTATGCGTTTGTTTGAAACTGGACTGATTACATCGTCTTATCCTCACCAAAATTCATCTGCAGCATACTCACCAAAATAGAATCCTTCTGCAGCATACTTTGGTATCAGCATATAGGCAATTCTCATATTTGAGGAGATAAGGAATTTATAGCGCTTCATAACCGTTTCCTGAATAATTTCCTCATTTGCAAATTTTTTGTTCGTTTCACCAATATAATAGTACACCAAAGATAATGGAGCCCCATAATTTTCAACTCTTCCAATGATGTTAGAAGGATATTCGATATTTTTCACAAGTTTTGCCAAACTATCCCAGAAAACATTTGATTTAATTTGCGTCAAAACAACGGCTGAATTAGTTTTTGGAGCAATTTCTTTCAAAGATGCTTTAATTCAGACTTTGTCATATAAAGGTCGTTCATTAAAATAAGTTGATTGAACCATCGAGTCGAAACAGACATTGTGACTGAGCAATTCTGCAATTCTTTTTTCGTCAAACTTTGCTTTAACTATGTGATGATTTTTCACAAACTTGACGATTTTCTCAGCTTCTTTGATGGTCTTTGAACTTTCAGAAGTACTCAAAATATATTTAACGAGCAGATTCCGTGTGCTGCGCAGCCATACGTCAAAATGTAAGTTAATTTTTCTTCATTTAATTTCCAAGCAGCTTTTATTATTGTAGCGTTGTCTGTGTGGGCAGAGAATTTCTTCAATGATGGCAACAGCAACAACTGCAGCGTTTTGAACTATGCCCGATGTGTTGATTGAAGTATAGAAAAACGTTTTCGCGTACGGTATTGATGATGTATTTGATGGATTAAGTACTTTAATCAAATCCTTAAAAGCTTCAAATTCAACGAGACGAAGAGATACTCCAGTTCGGAATAAGCAATTTGCTTATTTCATATCGTTTTTCTTTTTTTGATTCTTCAGGATTCGACATTGTCGACTACTTTGTACGTTTTAGCTGAGATTATGATGTCGTTATTGAAGTTGATTGATGATTCGGCTTTTTGTTTTGTCAACAATCGTTTCTCATCTTTACTAGCGTTTGGATATGATGTTCATTTATGCGCTGCGACGCGATCTTTTGCCCATTGAACTGTCTTTTGGCAGGTAATGCAAGATCTAGTTCTCGTTACTGTATCTAATTTTGCAAATATTTATTTATTGTAAAGTTTTTCATTGTCGTTCTGTTTGAGGAAAAACGTCTAATTAACCGATAAACTTTTCAATTTTTCATTGTTTTACGTACTTATCTCTTTAATTAAAGCTTCTAAAATTAATATGTTAAAGTTGTTATTTATAAAATTGCTTTAATTAAAGAGATATAATAGTGGAATTAAAAGTTATTAACTTTTAATTCCACTATTAAACTAATTAATATCTGCGCATACAAATTTTATAAACCCTAATAAAAAGTAGTTAAAACAAAAAATTTATTTGTAAATGTAAATTACTTGCCAAAGTAAATCATGAAAAAGTTACTTAGATGTTATTATGTAAATATATATATATTTTTTTAACTTTAATTTATCTTATTACAAACGTTGTTTTTTTCATATGATTTGTTACTGCTGGTGTAATCCTGTTTATGTCATAAAAATACTGGTTTTATAAAAAAAATTAATTTACAATTAATTGAAAATGAAAATTTAAGAAAAAGTGGAGTTTTGGCAAGTTTTCTTTATTTGAAAGTTTGTAGTCTTTGCACAAGTCAAGTTACTTGATTCAAGTATCTAAAGATCAGTACATAATAGCACATAATAAGTTTAAAAACTGATCTTTAGAACAATGTACATTATTTCAGGATAAGATCTTTTTCATATGCAAAAGAACAACGTAATAAAAAATAACAAAATATTACGTAATAAAAAGTATCAAAAAGCTCAAAGAGAATAACACAATAATCAAAATTTCTCTCCTTAAAAATGAAAACATCGATTGAATTTCAATGAACAGTTAAATTAAAAAATGGTTATTTTCATAGCCACAAATTTCATAATAGCGTACTTGGAGTAGCAACATTTTTAATTATTCGTCATGAAAGAATTCTTAAAAATGATACTGCTTTTTTTGTGTAAAAAGTTAATACTCAACGGAGGGTAAAAGATTCAACTGCCATCATTGATACTATTAAAAATAGTTAAAATAGCGTCTTTTAAATATGTTAAACAAATAATTGTTCTCAAAACTATTAGTTAAGTACCTTTTTCTTACCAAACCAAAAGTTCTTTTAATAATTTTTAAGTTTCATAGTATTATCTACTGTCACTAAATGTAGATAAAACAAAGTATACTCTATTCCATAAAAAATCAAAAAAGGAAAACCTTCCTTTAAAATTATCAGATTTAATTTTAGATGATAAACT